TCTATCACCTCTGAATTGTGGCATTTGGTGTTAGAAGATATCTACAGTAGCTTCCTCTCTGGCTCAACTTCTAGTGTCAGAACTCACATTTTTGAATTGAATTATTCTGTTGATTCCTTCTTTTACTATGCCAACTTAGGTTCTAGAATATAATCTCACCCTGAAAATTAGTTCTTAAGTACTGACACCAATACAGAGATGATAACAGTTCGGTTCTCAGAAGCAGGGACTGCCAGCCCTAGAAGGGACCTCACTTTGAGCGTGTCTAATCTTCTTCACGTTACTGATGGGGAAGCCAAAGGCCAGGGAGGGGAACTTCCTTCCATGTATACTTGCCTAAGTACATTAGAGTCGGTGGACAGGAGTTACTCAGAAGGAACGCTCCACACCTGGAGAGATACATGATCCATTTCATCCCAACCAGGGTCCTTCATACTTTTCTTGGAGTCTCAGTGTCTTATTTTCATTGTAGTTTGATACTCTTATTATTTAATTTTTAAATTGTGTCAAGGTTCACCTCCCTCCTGTGATTTTTTCTCTGCTGAGACAAATCAAATGATTCAGGCTGTTAGAAGAACTTTGGATAGGAGAAAAGAGCCAATGGTAATAATTTCATCATACTGTGGTTTTAAAATATCAGAGTTGTCCTCACTTTACTTTAACCAATATATATACTGAGCATCAGAATCTGGTGATCATCACACTGTGTGTGGACCTGCTACCCATGTGACAGAGGGGCAGATCTTCCCCTAAAATCCCAAATGTGTAGGGAGGCAAGGAAATCCGAAAGAGGGTTAATACTGAGAGCAGCATGGGAGGCTGGCTCACTGTGTGAGCTTGGGACAGTCCATCCCTGACAGGGGGCTGTTTGTTTCACTCCACTGGAAGTGAAGGAAGGTGGACTGGGACGCAGCCTGAGGTCTGCTCTGGGGCCCTGTGTAGCTCTGGGATGTTAGGTGGTGACTGGATGGTTTCTGCATCCATTCCAGGCCACCCAGATCTCCTTCCGAGTTCGGTGACAGGGAGCACCCAGTGTGCTTAACAGGAACAGGGAGCCACACCCTGGGCATGAGTCAGGCCCCCAGTACACCCAGGATAGGGAAGCTTGGTAGGGGTGGGGCCTGAGGCAAGTTTCGTGTTCTCCTGCCTTGACATTCCTTTGGTTTTATACTCATAAGGAAGCAATGGTCTACAGCAAGGTTCTGCCATGGCTTTGGGGTGGGGGGCCTTTCAGCCACCATCAGTGGCTGGCAAAGCTGCCTTCCCATTTTCTTCTTCCTAATGCTTTTTAGTTTTATATTGCTTTGAGGGAGTTGGGGCATAAGAGTAGGGCAAGACTGGAGGCACAATTTGCAAGGCCTGGGGCAAAATGAAAATGAGGTATTTCATTCAGAAAGAATTTTGAGATGGTGACAGCAGAGTGAAATGAAGCATGGGGCCTTCTGTATGCAGGACCCTGTGCAACTGCTCAGGTGGGACACCCAGGAGGCCACCCTGGGTTGGGGTGGGTCAGAGACGGGGATGGGGACCTGGGACTTCACTGGGCCAATAGATGCCAGATCATTGCTTTGAGCCAAAGCTAAAAAGGATGAGGAAAATGACATAAGTATCAGTGCAGCTAAGTGCCTGGAGAGCTTCAAACTATTGCACTTAGACCCTGTGGCAGTCAAGAGCAGACTTTATTTTGCAGAGAAGAAGCAGGCCAAGATAGGAAAGGTCACACTGCTTTGGTGACTACACCTCAGGCCTCCTAATTTCCCTGCCCTTCTAGTCCTTGGTGAAGCTGAGGAACAGGGAAATTGTTCTCTCTCATTGTGAGTTAAATTGGAACTTGGGAATAAGAGTGTGACTCAGGAAGGGAAATGAGATAAATGATAATTGAACAGAGAAAACAAAACAGTTTAGAAAGCCAAAGCAGTTTGTCTGAGTCCTATCTGGTACACAACACACAGCAAAACAGACGAATGTCTGTGCAGCAAAACAAAACTGGAAGAAGATGATATTTTCAAATAAAATACGCATATTTCCAACCAGCCTTGAGCTCAACCGATAAGGGACAGATTGTCCAGAGTAAATAGAGAAAGGAAAAAAGATGCTTTGGGCTGAATTTAGTCCCCTGTCAAAATCCCAGAAGAACTTACTGCCTCTCCTCCTCCTGCCCGTCATCCCTGCGGCGGCCAGTCCTCCTTGGCTGCCAAGGGAAGCAGAGTGGTTCAGCTAGGCATGCCTTTGCTCTTTCATCCATCCAGCAAACATCTCTTGAGCAACTCAGTTGGCCTTATACTGGGCTAGTTCCTAAAAGAATGTCTAAGACATGGCCCCTGCCTGTAACAAGAGCAGGCAGATATATGTCAGGGGAGAGCACTAACCGCAGTGGAGTGCGATCCTAGCAATGCATGCTGCATGCTCCTGCGACTCAGGAGAAGAGGAACGCATGCTGCTTCAGCTTCTCAGTTAGTTACCTGCCCGCAGGTCCCTGTTTGCTTCAGCAGTGGCTGCCAGGATCTAGTCATCCCTCCTGTGCTCCTCTTTCCTGGAGACTCCTGCAGAGGGGCACAAGTAGGCAGGGACTGGGGATTCTTGCAGATGGTACCTGCTGGCCCTTGGTGCTGCATGTCTGCTTACCAATCCTCCTCTGCACTTGGGGGCACCTTGCAGAAGGGGTAGATATGCTTCTGGTTCGGGCCTGGTGAGGATCTGCCTCCTTGTGCTTCCTGCTGCCCGTCTGCTGCCCAGGCATATATGTGTAAGAGCAGCAGCTGAGGCCAGGGAGTGGGCCAGCTCTGTGATTGCTGGGGTGGCACTCCATCCCCATCTGAAAAATGGTAGGAGGGGAGGAGGTCTAATAAACCAGAATATCCTAATCCAAACAGCCAACAACCTGCATTCTTTCTCAGGGACAGCAGGGCTGAAGTAGCAGGGGCAGTAGAATAAATTGTAGAGGCCATCACAGTAGCGAGAAGGGACAAGCCACCAAGAGAAATGATCTCTAAGCATCCAGAGTCAAATGTTTCTGTGATTCTCTGCTCTTTGGCTATTGAACGTGTCATCCACCAGGAGACATGTACATAGCCATTGATATAACTGGAAATAGTGGACACGAGGTGAGCCCCTTGTGCTGTCCTATGTCTCATCATGATGGTGCTACATGGTCATGCCAGTACCCAGCATTTACAAAGTGCCTATCGCCCTTATTTCTCCCTCAGCAGCTGAGGGAGATGAGTGGGGTGTGTATTGTAATTCCTGCTACACACCAGAGGCATTTCTCAGGGAAGACTAAGCCACTTGCTGCTGATTTGGTGAATAGCAGATGAGGGGTCAGAGCCCAGGTCATCTGTGTGACATTCTTCTGACTGTGTGTGCCGCTCCTGGATGTACCAGTTCCTGTCCCAGTTAAGGCAGGGCACAGTGTGGCAGGCTCAGGGCATAAGCTGGGAGGAGCATTTTCAGAAGCTGGAAACCTGGAAACATCATAGCTACTACATGAGCATATGATGTCTTCTCAGGCTCTTGACCTTTTAAAATAATATACTTCAAACAGCAATGCATCGTCTGGTCACACTCTGCAAACAGCAGGCTGGTACCCAGCTCCTCCCCACTTTTTTACCTCCATCCTGGGTCATCATAAACCTGCAGAGCTGAGTGGGAACAGTATTCGCCTTGCAATTACTTCTAATTGCCCTGTAGTTTGGTGGTGGATGAGTGGTGTGGCCTAGATACCAGTTATGTGTAACCCTCCTTTCATCCTGTGGTTTGTGTTAAGGAGGACAAACATCTGTAGATCAGGGAACTGTGGTCCAGTCCACCTCCTGGTTCACATACATATCCAACTCCACATCTACCCTTGTCAAAATGCCAGCCCCCTTCACAGCCCAGATCTAGGGTAGCTTCTTCCTCTGTGAAGCCTCCCGGGTTTGCCCTCTCCTTTGGATTCTCACAGCACTTGTTCTGATCTTGTCTTTGGTGATCATCATTTTCTACATACTTCACCTTCCTGAACTCCTTCTGCCAGAGACTGTGTCAATCTCATTTTCCTCTCCTTGTCTACCCTGAGAAGCGAGAATGGCTGAGGGAGTGACGCATTGAATACTTGCCAAAAGAAAGCTAAACTGATAAAGTTCTAGACATCGTTGAGGGATATGAAAGGAGAGGTGGACATGCACTGTCTTTTCACAGTTCATACTTTATACTGACTATATGTAGAAAGCTCTTATTTGAGTTTCAAAATCAATTCACTATGATTCAGTACATTTTCTAGCAATTGTTGTGTCAAACTTACCTTAGATTCATTCTCATGTGCTTCCTTTCAAATTCAATATCTCTGAAGGAAAAATGCCACCCCAGATTTATAGATGGCCAAAAATATTAGCTCAGAATGGTAAAAACATGACTTGCCTTAGATTGCAAAGTTATTAAACCATTAAAGAGATGATTAGGATTCAGTGAAAAGATATTCATTGATGTTATTCTTTCAATATTTATTTAGCACAAACATGTATTTATTCATTACACGGTAGACATTGTGGGGAATATAAGAAAGCATAAGACATGGGCATTGCTCACAGTCTAGTGAGAGGGACAAATACTTAGATGGAAAACAATGTCATGTAGCAAACGCTTTAACGGTAATCTGGGCCAGAGATTCTGTATGCCCATGTATTTGTTCTCATAGAGATATGCTGCTCTATGTGTCCTCTACACTTCTGAGACACAAGTGGTGATGATGCTCAACAATCACAAATATCCATAAAAGAATATTAGTAATAGGAATGTAGCTTCAGGCTTAAGCTTGCTGATGGCTCATGGGGAGCATATGGACAGTATGGAGGAATGGACAGAAGGCTGCTCCTACTTACTCCATCAAAAGACTTCAATTAAACAGGGAGCTGGCAGCAAAATCCAGACTTCTTCAGGGAGAGGACAGGAGAGAGAGGTGTGTCATTTTAGAACAAGAAAGGCCCCACCCACAAACCCAGTTCTCCGTCTTTGACAGGGTGAGTTCCACCCTGTAAACATCCCCAGCCTTTTCATTTGACCCTTTGTTTGAGACTGAGCATGTAACTGAGTCCACTCAGTGAGGCAAGATTCAGACTGAGAAGTTGACAGCACAAGGTCAACCCTGTTTGTCTTCATCAGAGACAGTCACATCTCTACTGGCTGCTAGCTATCTGTGGTTTGGCCCCCTTTGTCCAAGAAGAAAAAGAAGAGCCGTGAGGACTTGCCACAGCCTAGTCAGGTAAGGTCAGATGGCTTGTCACCATGTCTGCGAAGAGATGGGCTTCTCTTTAGTACCTGACTGCTCCTGTGCCCCGGCCTGGCTTTCTGGGCACCCCCACCATACACCTGCAGTTCCATCTAGGCTCGTAGTTTTCCATGACCATACAAAATCCTCTATTCTTCCTTACTTCCCAGGGTTGATGAGGTTTGCAGACCTGTATTTTTCAGCCTATAGAATCACTTGACATACTTTTCTTTATATTGATTTGGATCTTAACTGCCCTATAACAGCAGTAGGATAGGTATAATTTTCTCTATTCAGCGGCTTAGTGAACTGAGGCTTGGTGAATTGAAGTGATTTGTTCGTTTGATCAGCAAGCTAAGGCCAAGATTAGATTTGATTCCTCTTTCTCTCCTTCTTCTATCCTACCCAGCAGGTCATACCTTATCTCAAAAAGCCAAAAGAATTGAAAGGGCTTCCTGAGCTGTCAAATAGCAAACAGAAGGTGTTATTTCCTTACAGGCAGTTTGAGTGCAGTGTTTTTTAACTCATCTGAGAGAGATTTTATAATGATACATAGACGCCATCAAATAGGGCTATTTTAGGGAACAAATGAGAACACGTATGTAAAGGGGTCTCTTAAACTGAAAAGTGACATGCAAATGTGAGAAAAAGACTGCATGACTACGTGGATGCTGACCCACTCTCTGCTCTCTGCAGCAGAAGGCTTTCATCTAGGCTGAATGACACTCTCTTAAGAGCAGCAGCATTATGAGGCATGGATCATAAAGGCCCTGGGGAAATATTTTAGCTTTTCAGTCTTACTGTGGTATGTGGAAAAACCAATCTCACCAGGGGGAAAAAAACACCCCCAAATCCTTTCAAACTGACTCCTGCAATTTCCTCTCTTATGACAGTGATCATTATATCTCATTGTTCTACAGTTTTAAGAAACCTCATCTTTGGTGATTATGTAGTTTATTTTTTAAGATGCTAATTTTAGCTATCACTTTCCCCTTCATGCTCAGAAGGTTATATCATTCTTAGTTTGTGGAAGGAAATATTTCCTCTGTGTGTGTGTGTGTGTGTGTGTGTGTGTGTGTGCACGTGCATGTGTTGCATCTGAGTTTGTTGTGACAGTGCTAGTATTCATCCCCGTGGGCCTGCCTCAGTGCAGTGCTACACAATCTTGGCAGACTTCTGTGTATTCTTAGTATCTGTCTGATTGTAAGGGCTTTGCAGAAATCACTTAACCAATTCCCTTATTCCAAATAGAGAAACTGGAGCCCAGAAAGGCAATGTTATGTGCACAAGGTCACACAGCCAGCATTTATGGGAGCTGCAAGTCAGATGTCAGTCTCTTACTTGTTCACTTCCCATGACTTGTAGTGAGTGGTCCCAGGCATCATCTGCAAGTGGAAGCATAAGCTGTGTCATTTGGGCAGTTATACCCAGATGTCCTTTAAGATTCCTTTCAGTGAAAATTTTAGGGCCTCTGAATTTTTCTTAGCATCCAGTGGAAATATCATACCTGTAGAGTAGAGGACTTTTCCAGAGAAGCTTCTTTCCTGATTAACTTGCTTCTTGTGGAAAATTTCTTTCCACCAAATTCTGGAACTTCTCCTTAGGGATAGGGTTGATAGATGGGCCAGCAGTAGTTAGTGTCTTCATTTTATTCAGCCCATCTGGATCTTTGTATCTTCTAGAACCCTTCTAAACATGTGTCACTTAATTCAGCTAATTGGAATGCTAGCTGATTCAGAAATGTAGAATCTAATGGCAGGGTTGAGCCCAAGAGTTCCTTTCATTCAGGGGATTCAGACCATAGGTGAGTCCAGTTTTCAGGTGTGTTTTGTGCATGCTGCAGTGTTAAACAACACTGAACTAGTTCCAGATATTTAACATCCAGGAAATTTCCTGTAAAAATTCAGATACCTCATTTTTTAGGAAGATAAGAGGAACTGGTAATAGTGAGTCCATATTCCCAAATGGAAACCACATGGGCTGGGGCCGGGCAGCATGTGCTCTCTATAGACGGAACATGCATTCCCTAATCCTGCTCAGTCGCTATGGGATCTGGCTTGGCCGCTAGGTATTTGAGTCTGTCAACTGATTTCTTCCAATTTCTTATGGAAGAAATTTCAAATCATTCTCTTTCAAGGGAAACATAATTCTACGTACTGATAGGCCAGGCCACAGATCAATATCATCAGGGAGGAGGTAAAATTAATTCTTTGTCCCTAACCTCTCATTATCTAAGAAGTAGGAAGAGAAATAATGACATCAGCAGAACATGCCATTGGCCTTGATACCTACCCAAAATATTGAACCAGATATCAAGGCTCAGTGAGTTGAAAGCTAGAGTATTTAGCACAGCTCTAGCACACTCTCCAGGTGCCTACAAGAGAAAAGGAAGAAAAACTGACAAGTGCAAAAAAAAAATTCATTCTCAATAGATCGATGACATAAAAATAAGAAAAGAAATTAGAATGTATGATAGCACAGTGCCCTGAATTCCCAAAGAAAACAGAATAAATTACTGAAATCCTGAAAACAAACCCAATGATATGCTTTCTATAATCCATTCACTAATAAAATAATCACCTCATTATCACTTACAGTGTATGTCATCCTAAGCTTGGGGATTGAAAATATGTACATAAAAACCTACAACACAAGGTAAGATATGATAAGTGCTACAAGAAGAAGAAAGCAAATGTTGGTTTTACTGAGTGGAGATATTCATGGCAACGAGGCAGATTGCTATCAGGGGTGGTTGTAAGGATGAAATAACATTTGACCTGGGCTTTGGACATACAGAGGTAAGAAGAGTTTCTAGCAAAAGAAGAATTTAAGTTAACTCATAAGTCTTATTGTCTGAAGCATACTTCCGGAATAGAGAGCATTTGCTGTGGCTGTATAGAAGGGGTGTGGGGCTGAGAATTTGGGTCCACACCAGGTCCTGGGTGCTCAGTGGCAGGCTTAGAGCTTCAGGTCAGACATGACATAGTGGATTTGAGGAGCATCATACCTACTGAGTGGACATTTATTTACTCCAGGCTCATGGCTGTCCAGTCCATAATTTGGCAGTGACAGAACCTCTGTGAAGGTGTCACTTCACTCTGCTTGAAGTTTTTCAGAATGATTACGAGGAAGAAAAACAGAATGGACCACTCCTAACTACAACAGACTATATCAGATGCTTAGCAAGGGAAGCAAGGTGGTTCACATATAGTGGAACTAGAAATACAGATGAAAATGTTTTTTAAATACATTGAGAACCTTGTAAGGAATATTTGGAAAAAATATGATTAAGACTTCTTATTTGTAAAGCACGTCTATTCCTCTGCTTTTCTGAAACTTAAAGAAGTGATGTTGCAGAAGTTCTTAATTGTGGGATGTAGAGGGTTTTATTTAGTTGAGAAGCTTTGTCCTGCGGTCTGGGAAGCAGTCACCCACTAAGGAACAGTTATGGAAGGTGCTTGGCTGTCCCATCCCTACCCTCATTCATAATAAACACTGCTGGAGAATTCCACAAATGTGTGAATGCTCGACTGTGTTTTGTAGCCTTCCTGATGAGTTGAAGGGAAGGTCTGGTCTTGTGAAGGGCTCCACCAGTCAGCAGAACAATGTTAAACACATAGCCTAAGGTATCTGTGTAATTAACGAAACTCTTTTCATTTTCATGCACATGGTTTTATGTGAAATTGATTCAGAATTCTACCTATATCTCAAAAGTCTGTGCTTCATGGAAGTAGGTAGGTGATGTGGCACAGAATAAAATGAGATATTTGAATAAGATTTACTCATTTAAAACTATTTATTCAATGTCTGTCCAATACAAACATCTTTTCATACCTCATTCATTCAGAAATATTGAATATTAATTCTAGGGTTGGGAAAAGAGCAGCAATGAACAAAAAGAAATAATCTCTGATGTCAAATAACTGACACTTTTAATGAAACCCATGGAAAATTAACAAAATAAATCAATGAAATATATAATATATGAGATATAGCAGAAAATAGAACAGGGAAGGGATAGGAAATGTTGGAGAGTCGAGATTTTGGGGAGGGTGCTTAGGGTGAAATAAGTTGTTATTTGAGTTAAGATCCTAATGACACAAGAGCGTGAATCATGTTAGTAACTGGAATAGCAAGTGCAAAGGTCCTGAGGCTGGAGCTGGCGAACATAAATATTCTTTCCAAAGAGCTTATTTGTGAAAGGACCCAGAATAAATGGGCATAAGTTGTAAGGGAAAGAGAGGAGCTTTTCCTACCCATGAAGATGAAAGATGATAGAAATGTAAGCAATGTTATGTGCACAAGGTCACACAGCCAGCATTTATGGGAGCTGCAAGTCAGATGTCAGTCTCTTACTTGTTCACTTCCCATGACTTGTAGTGAGTGGTCCCAGGCATCATCTGCAAGTGGAAGCATAAGCTGTGTCATTTGGGCAGTTATACCCAGATGTCCTTTAAGATTCCTTTCAGTGAAAATTTTAGGGCCTCTGAATTTTTCTTAGCATCCAGTGGAAATATCATACCTGTAGAGTAGAGGACTTTTCCAGAGAAGCTTCTTTCCTGATTAACTTGGTTCTTGTGGAAAATTTCTTTCCACCAAATTCTGGAACTTCTCCTTAGGGATAGGGTTGATAGATGGGCCAGCAGTAGTTAGTGTCTTCATTTTATTCAGCCCATCTGGATCTTTGTATCTTCTAGAACCCTTCTAAACATGTGTCACTTAATTCAGCTAATTGGAATGCTAGCTGATTCAGAAATGTAGAATCTAATGGCAGGGTTGAGCCCAAGAGTTCCTTTCATTCAGGGGATTCAGACCATAGGTGAGTCCAGTTTTCAGGTGTGTTTTGTGCATGCTGCAGTGTTAAACAACACTGAACTAGTTCCAGATATTTAACATCCAGGAAATTTCCTGTAAAAATTCAGATACCTCATTTTTTAGGAAGATAAGAGGAACTGGTAATAGTGAGTCCATATTCCCAAATGGAAACCACATGG